GTGCGCGTTTTTCCCAACCATCCTGTGGTGTTGGGTCCTCGTTTTGAAGAGACGTCGCCCCGCGTTCCTTCCTCCTCCCTCCTCCTCCTCCCTTTCCTCCGCCCTCCCAGCATCATCATCATCATCATCATCATCAGCATTATTATCATCATCATCGTCATCGTCATCACCGTGATTATCATCGACATCATCGACGTCATCATCACCATCATCATCATCATCATCATCATCGTCATCGTCATCACCCAATTCGGCACACCCCTCACCCCTCACACGCTTCGTGGCCCCATAGGGAGCTCCACCGAAGGCCCCTCTGGCTGCGTTCGCATGCGCCCACCGCACCCATTTCGGCGCACCCCTCACACGCTTCGTGGCCCCACAGGGAGCTCCAACGAAACCAATAGTGGCTGCGTTCGCATGCGCCCACCGCACCCATTTCGGCACACCCCTCGCACGTTTCGTGGCCCCATAGGGAGCCTCACCGAAGGCTTCCGTGGCTGCGTTCGCATGCGCCCACCGCACCCATTTCGGCACACCCCTCACACGTTTCGTGGCCCCACAGGGAGCTCCACCGAAGGCCCCAGTGGCTGCGTTCGCATGCGCCCACCGCACCCAGTTCGGCACACCCCTCACACGTTTCGTGGCCCCATAGGGAGCCCACCCAACCCCCGTGGTTGCGTTCGCATGCGCCCACCGCACCCAGTTCGGCACACCCCTCACACGTTTCGTGGCCCCACAGGGAGCTCCACCGAAGGCCCCAGTGGCTGCGTTCGCATGCGCCCACCGCACCCATGTCGGCACACCCCTTGCACGTTCCGTGGCCCCACAGGGAGCCCCACCGAAGGCCCCAGTGGCAGCGTTCGCATGCGCCCACAGCACACACTTCGGCACACCCTTTACACGTTTCGTGCCCCCACAGGGAGCTCCACCGAAGGCCCCAGTGGCTGCGTTCACATGCGCCCACCGCACCCATTTCGGCACACCCCTCACACGCTTCGTGGCCCCATAGGGAGCCTCACCCAAGGCCCCCGTGGTTGCGTTCGCATGCGCCCACCGCACCCAGTTCGGCACACCCCTCACACGTTTCGTGGCCCCACAGGGAGCTCCACCGAAGGCCCCAGTGGCTGCGTTCGCATGCGCCCACCGCACCCAGTTCGCCACACCCCTCACACGCTTCGTGGCCCCACAGGGAGCCCCAACGAAACCAATAGTGGCTGCGTTCGCATGCGCCCACCGCACCCATTTCGGCACACCCCTCGCACGTTTCGTGGCCCCATAGGGAGCTCAACCGAAGGCCCCTGTGGCTGCGTTCACATGCGCCCACCGCGCCCATGTCGGCACACCCTTCACACGTTTCGTGGCCCCACAGGCAGCTCAACCGAAGGCCCCAGTGGCTGCGTTCGCATGCGCCCACCGCACCCATTTCGGCACACCCCTTGCACGTTCCGTGGCCCCACAGGGAGCCCCACCGAATGCCCCAGTGGCTGCGTTCGCATGCGCCCACCGCACCCAGTTCGGCGCTCACCTCGCACGTTTCGTGGCCCCATAGGAAGCTCCACCTAAGGCCCCTGTGGCTGCGTTCGCACGCGCCCACCGCACCCAGTTCGGCACACCACTCACACGTTGCGTGGCCCCACAGGGAGCTCCACCGAAGGCCCCACTGGCTGCGTTCGCGTGCGCCCACCGCACCCATGTGGGCACAGCCCTCACACGTTCCATGGCCCCACGGGGAGCTCAACCGAAGGCCTCGGTGGCTGCGTTCACATGCGCCCACCGCACCCATTTCGGCACACCCCTCACACGTTTCGTGGCCCCATACGGAGCCTCACCCAATGCCCCCGTGGCTGCGTTCGCATGCGCCCACCGCGCCCATGTCGGCACACCCTTCACACGTTTCGTGGCCCCACAGGGAGCCCCACCGAAGGCCCTTGTGGCTGCGTTCGCATGCGCCCACCGCACCCATTTCGGCACACCTCTCACACGTTTCGTGGCCCCACAGGGAGCTCCACCGAAGGCCCCAGTGGCTGCGTTCGCATGCGCCCACCGCACCCAGTTCGGCACACCCCTCACGCTTCGTGGCCCCACAGGGAGCTCAACCGAAGGCCCCAGTGGCTGCGTTCGCATGCGCCCACCGTGCCCATTTCGGCACACCCCTTGCACGTTTCGTGGCCCCACAGGGAACTCCACCGAAGGCCCCGGCACAGCCTCACACGTTTCGTGGCCCCTTAGGGATCGCTGCCGAAGAAGATGCTCGCACTTGCGGCACGCACAGCTGCATATGGTTGGGTCCTTCGCCAGGATAGTTTTTTCCCTCCGCCTGCGTGGCTGCGGCTGTCATTTCCCGCAGCCGCTCGACGATTTGCGTTGCCTTTCCATGCGCGCGCGGAGTTGGGCTTTCGGCCGTCTGCCGCTTAGTTGATGGCTTCAGAAACGGCGGCCTGGCCCGCGACTAGTTGCGGGGGCCTTCCAACGACGCGCCCAGCTTTCGCTCTAGGCATGGGCGGGTGGATTGCTTCGGGCGCGCGGTTGCCATTCGAATCATTCGGGTTCATGTATCGATGTTGGGCGTGCTGGCCGATCCCATGTTTGAGGCCGGTCTCGGATGTTGCTCTCTCTTCTCCTCGTCCTCCCCCATCCATCTCCTCCCCCTCCCTTCTTCGAGTTCAATTTCATTATTCCTGGGTTTGGCAGCGGCCGTTTCGGCAACAGGGACTCGGGTTCGCGCCCAGCATGCGACAACGGTAGTCACGATGACGGTAGTATCGATGCAGGCGGCGATGGTGACAATGACGACGGCGAGTGTCGGCGCCGATGCTGATCACGCCGGCGACGATGACGGCGGCTTCGCGTGAAGGTTTTGGAATCAGTTCGACATGCGCGCGCGGCCGCCGCGCGACAGTGGCCCGCATGATATTATTTGACACGGACCGTGCCCCCCCCCAGCGCGCGCAAGGGCGTTCGAATGATTTCGACATGCGGCGCGAGGGGTCCGTTTGGCAGAATTTAAGGAACATGTTGAAACACCAAGATGGTTTCCTAAGATTTCGCAGGAGCGCGAGCGCAGGCCTTTCGAACAACGGATGTTGCAAAACCATGTGTTTTGCATTTTCGGGACACTCGATTTTAAATGTCCTACGAAACCGAAGGTTGTTGCCGCATGTCCGGATGTGCGCGCGACGACGCGCGCGCGCGTGTTTTTCGCTTCTCAGCTGCAAGGGATTACTGCGACAGCGCGCACGCAAGGGCGTTCGAGCGATGTCGATACGCGCGCACGAAAGGCACGCCCAGTAGCATCTTCTATACATATGTTGAAAACCATTTGTTCCCAAACATCCTGTGTTGTTGGGTCATCGCTTTGAATATACAGCGCCCCGCGTTTTCTCCTCCTGCTCCTCCTCCCTCTCCTCCCTCCTCCCCTTCCTCCCGCTCCTCCCACCTCTTGCGCCTTTTTGTGGCCCCGTAGGGAGCTCCACCGAAGGCCCTAGTGAGAGAGTCCGCACGCAGTTCCACTTCACAGTCCGGCCGACCCCTCACACTGTTCGTGGCCCCATGGGGAGCTCCACCGAAGGCCCCAGTGGGAAAGTTCGCATGCAGTTCCACTTCAATTTCGTCGCGCCCGTCAAGCGCTTCGTGGCCCCACGGGGAGCTCCACCGAAGGCCCCAGTGGGACAGTTTGCATTCAGTTCCACCCCCAATTTCGTCGCACCCCTCACACGGTTCGTGGCCCCATAGGGAGCTCTACCGAAGGTCCCAGTGGGAAAGTTCACATGCAGTTCCACCCCCGATTTCGGCACACCCCTCGCACGGTTCGTGGCCCCGTGGGAAGCTCCAACGAAGGCCCCAGTGGGAAAGTTCGCATGCAGTTCCACCCCGATTTCGGCGTATCCCTCACACGGTTCGCGGCCCCCCACAGAAGGCCCCAGTGGGAAAATTCGCATGCAGTTCCCCTCCCCATTCCGGCGCACCTCTCACACGGTTCGTGGTCCCATAGGGAGATCCAGTGGAAAAAATTGCATGCAGTTCCACCTCATTTCGGCGCACCGCTCACGCGTTTCGTGGCCCCGTATGGAGCTCCACAGAAGGCCCGAGTGTGAAAGTTCGCATGTAGTTTCCGCCTCCACTTCGTCCCACCACTCACACGGTTCGTGGCCCCATAGGAAGCCTTCCCCGCAGGCCAAAGTGGGAAAGTGCGCAAGCAGTTCCACCCCCAAATTTGGGCACACCCCTCACACGGTCCATTGCCCCAGAAGGGGCTCCACCGAAGGCCCCAGTCGCAGGGTTCGCATGCAGTTTCACCCCCACTTCGGCTCGTCTCTCATTTTGTTTCGTCGCCTTATCGGGAGGTTTACCGAAGACGATACACCCAGTTATGGCACTCACAGCTGCATCTGGTTGGGTCTTTCGCCAGGCTAATTTGTGCAGGGATTGCACGCACCTATATATATACACACACACACATCTAGTGCAGAGGACGAAAAGGGGGCGATACCAGCCTGGTTGGGATGGTAAGCCCTCACATTTAGGAAGGACGATTGTGCAGGACCAGATACCAAATGCAAAACGAAAAAGGAGGGCCGTCAAGTCTAATGGGGGTGATCCTAATTTTTTTTCTCGAAAATGAGAATCTAGGGGACGACGGGATGGGCGGCGACAGTGCGGCGAAGGCGGCCACAGAGCCGCCAGACCGTCAGCCAGGCCCAGGAGACGGGCGGCGACGGGATGGGCGGCGACGAGGCGGCGACGGGGCGGCGACGGCGGCCACATGTCACATAGCCGCCACGTCGCCAGCCAGGCCAAGACGACGGCGGCGACGAGGCGGCGACGGGGCGGCGACGGCGGCCGGATAGCTGCCAGACCGCATGCCAGGCCCAGTTCTTTAGCACAGAAGTAAAGCCCCCTAAGTGCACACACTGTTTGGGGCATGTTGTGCTATATGTTCGGGTCGGGCGTGCGTCTCCAACAGAGGCACATCGTTCTAGTATTGCCTTATGCGTCCCAAGGCCCTCGCGTGCGCTCAAGAGACGGGCCTCCCGCGCCTCCTGGAGATCGCGCGGCACACCCCCGACAGGGACTGCGCGGTGTACGTCGGCGGCTTGGGATCCCACGCCAGCCCACACCACATTCAGAGCGCATTCGAGGGCCTGCTCGAGCGGCTGCCGCAGTTCCAGGATGGTGTAAGGTTGGCCAGCTGGGGGCCTGAGGTGGCCCAGCACTGGTTCTGGCCAGCAGGAGGGGGGGAAGAGATTCGAGGTTCTAGGTTCGATGTTTTTCATCTTTTTCTGTCTCTGGGAGCCTTTTCGGGCCCCAGGACAGGCAAACATTGATCTGGGGTGAAAAACCAGTACCCGATGGACCTTGGGATGGATCGGGTAACCGATTTTGAACGGATTTGCGTCATATCCCCTTCTTGACCGATTTTCTCGAGGTCTATCCACTTCAGACCTCCTGGACGCCTCCAAAAGTAAGGCTGCAGGCTGCTCGCAGACAGCTCTTCAAGGTGGCCTCGGCTGGCCACAACCCTGGAGTAGTCCGGTGTGGTCTCACACCTCAACCGGCACCTTCAACGCATTGAAGAATTCAGTACGGAGGTTGTTCGCCAAAACGATTCCCGGGGAACGGGTCGGGACTTCTGGGGATACATCGGATCTCAGAGGCCCTGCGCGGGGGTGTCGAGGCCGCCCCGGGGCCACTCGGGAGGCGTGTGGAGGCCAGCAGGGACTACCTGGTGGGGGGCTGTCTGTACGCAGCCCGACGCATTGTCATTCCAGGAGCTGTACCCGCGGTTGCCCAGGGCCGTGCTCGCGGTCCACTGCCAAGCGGACATGCTGGGCCGCGGCCAGGCGCTCGTGCTCTTCGCGGACGGCGCCCTGGCGAGCACCTGCGCGGCCATGAGTGGCCTGCGGATCTGCGGCCGCAGCGCGCAGGCCTTGGAAATAGACAAAGCGGCATTAAACTAAAAAAACATTCTGAGCTCCGCTACCGCTACCCTTTCCTCGTTGTCGCCTCTTCGGACCTCCTGGGAGGCCCAGCGTGCCAGTGAAACTGTGTTGGCTTTGCTCGGCCAGCTCTCGGATGGCCCACCCGTAGGCGGCTCGCATGTGCGGTGCGTGCTACATAGAGGAAGCGTGTGGAGCAGGATCGCACAAACTCGTGGGGAACCCCAGAAAGCAGGTTGAAACAGTGTTTTTTTGTCTAAACCATGTTTCCGGCGTCCTTCCCGTTGGTGAGTCGCCTCTGCGGTGTGCGCTACACAGGGTAAACGCGTGGAGTACGAATGCACCAGGTCATGTCGAGGCCCAGAATGCACATGAAACGCGTGGTTTTACTCTGCCATACCAGCGCCCCGTTGCCGCAGGGTATTGTTGGCGGCAGCACGTTCTCGGCACTGGTGAGGGCGTGCACGTGATGGTCCCTGAGCGCGGTCTCGATCCACGCCAGGGTCGCAGGGCGTGGCAGGCGTGTCCTGAGGCCAAGAGGGGGTGCGCAGGAATCTGCCTCTGAACGCGGAGCGGCAGGGCGGTCGCTGGGACGTCCCTGGCGGTCCCGTTTGCACTGCCTCCCTGTTGGTTTGTACCATATGCGCACTTCAGCTGGGAAACATTATTGTGAAGGCCTGACGGCCAGCGCCGCCGACCCTGAAAGACATCGACGACGACGACGACCAGGAGGGGGAAGAGGAGGGGAAGGAGGATGAGGAGGAGGAGGAGGAGGAGGAGGCGGAGATAGGGAGGAGGAGAGGGAGGAGGAGGAGGAGGAGGAGGAGGAGGAGGAGGAGGAGGAGGAGGAGGAGGAAAAGGACTCCCCCCTGGGACCCCCCCCCGGGGAGAAGGACCAGAGAAGGACCAGCGTGGGAGAGGGGAGGGGCGGGGGAGGAGGACCCACAGGGACGGATGCGTATCTGACTCCCCTCCCCTCCCTGGGACTCTTCCCCACCTGGGGAGGGGGACCCGAGGAGGACCTGCGTGCCGGAGAAGGACCAGCGTGGGAGAGGCGAGGCGATGCGAATCCTGCCACACACCCCGGGGACCCCCCCCACCGCCGGGGAAGGGACAAGGGAATGGGCTTACATTTAGCAGAATAAGGCTGAAGGCTTAAGGACGTGGATGGATTTCTCTCAAGCTGCGAACCCGTTCCCCGAACGAGGAAGGGTGCTCTCTTTTTTATTCGTCTTGTTCTCTCTTTCTCTTTCTCTCTCTCTCTCTCTCTCTCCCCCCCGACGGGAGAGGAGGATGGGAAGGAGGGGGCGAAAGAAGGCTCCCCGTCGACGGGACCGGACAGACGCCCCACACACGCCGACACGGTCGGCGGATTTGAAAATTACCCCATATTGTTTCGAATTGATTGTTTTTTCGACCTTAGGTCTGGCCCCTGGCCTGCGCGCGCCCGCCGCGCACGGACCTCTTCCAGCCGCCACTGGACGTCCAGAGCCTGCGCGACGAGGGGTTGCTGCCCTGGCGCGGGGGGCCGGGCGTCCAGCTGCTCTGCGACGTCGAAGTCCGCAGCGCGGACGGCGCGGCCGCGCTCGAGGGTTCCGCGGCCCTCATCGAAGGGCTGTCCCAGGCGCTGCGGCGTCTGCCAGCCGTGCGGCGGCATTTCCCGAGGCGGCTGGACCTCGTCAGGCCAGCATCGTTCAACCTCCCCGATCCCCGCTGGGCCACAGTATGCCAGCCTGCCTCACCAGCCCAGCCTCCCAGGTGGGGGCATGCCCTGCGAAGCCCAAAGGAAAGGCATAACTGTGTCCCCACCTGGGTGGGGGAGGCGGCCAGTGGGGCCCTGGCCCAGGTTGGCCCCAGGTTTCCCGGGGAGGTCTGGATGGCTTGCAGCGCGCCGCCCACGAGTCCCAGAGGGCCCCGGGAACCCCAAGGGGGCGCAAAAGGCTGGGAGCACCTTGGGCCAGGACCGGGGCTGTGGCGGCATCCAATGCAGGGGAGTCAAGCTGGGCGGGGGCGGGACGGGTGCCCTCGTGGAGCTGGAGAGCGAGGTGCTGGCCAGCACCGCCGTGGCGATGGGACGGGTGCGGTTGCCCAGCGGAGGCCTGCTGGCCGTCAGCTGGCCGCCGGCCTGCCACGACGCGGCGTCGCGGGCGCCGCCAAGCCTCGACGTCCGGGAGCGGGGGGTCCGCGACTTCCCGCCGCCGGACGTCGTCGTGATCGGCGACGACGAGCCGTCAGGCAGGCCGCTTAGTAAGACAAGAATCTATGGAGGGTTCCAGGGCGTCCTGGCACGCCGCCTCTGGGAGCTCCCTGGGGCGTTCTGGAGCGGCCGCGACGCCCGTCGAGATATAATGCTCGGGACCCGCTGGCCTTCCGCCGAGATTTTGAGCGACTTCGAGCTGTCTCGTCCCAGTGCTGTTTTTTTCCTGCCGTCGTCTCAACACCGCGGCGCGGTGAGTCAGTGGGAATTCGGGGTGGCTGCACGGTTTTGGAACTCGGGCCGTCCTCCTAGGACGTCTCGGGCGACGAGGACCTCCAGGGTCCCAAGACCGTACGGTGACGGACCGCGCGGTGATTGGGATTTCGAGGTCAGCACGCGGTCCGTCAACGTGCAAGCTCGGGACCCCCAAACCTGGGGGTCGCTGGCCCTCCAGTCGTAGGCCCACGTGAGACCGCGCGGTCAGACCGAGGTGCGCCGAGCGGGCCAGCGCGTGCCGCGCGCGGCGCCTCGGCCGGGAGGCGGCGGCGCGCGGGGCGGTCCGAATTGCACCCTGTGCTGCCGCCGCAGCACCTGGTGCAGCAGGAAGCAGGGCGTCCGCCACCACAGCTGCAGGTCCAGCCGCAGACCCCGCAGCATCTGCCTCAGGATCGCGCAGGGCTGCACGAGGTGCTGCAGACGGGGCGCCTGGCATCACGGCAGCAACCGCAGACCCCCCCTCACTTGCTCCAGGATGGCGCCAGGCCGCACGCGGTGCCGCAGGCTGGGCATCCGCTACAGCAGCAGCAGCAGCAGTCGCAGCCGCAGACGCCGCAGCACCTGCTGGCGGCCCACAGGATGCCTCAAGTGCAGCTGCAGCGGCGGGCGGCGGACTTGTCGAGAGACGCACGAGCGGTGGAGCTCGAGGCGGAGCAGGGCTCCAGTCAGAAGCGGCGCCAGCCGTCGCAGGATCACCCTCTGGTGCTTCAGGGCTGCCTCTCCTCAGCTTCGGAATCGGCGGAAGGCAATTTTCCATTCCCCCCCTCCCTCATCGCTCCACCACTCTCCCTCCTCTCACCCCCTCTCCTTCTTCTCAGCTCTTCTCTCCACCCCTTCACCGATCTGCCGCTTCAAATCGTTTTCCTTCCCCTTCTGCTCACCCGTCCCCCCATCGCTCATCCCTTCCTGCTCCGCATCCTCCTCCCCTCCTCTTCCTCCTCCTCCTCCTGCTGATGCCCTCCTCTCCTCCTCGACAAATTCCTCATGGTGCTCCCCTCTGCCTCCTCCACCCCGCTCCCTCCTCTCCTTCTCCTGATGCTCCCTCCCTCCCCTCCTCCCCCCAAGCGGGCCCTTCGCCGTTTAGCAGATTGGCAGCCTCGAAATGCCTCGGCCAAGTTGTGGCCCACCTGTGCACCCCATCGCGCCCGATCAGCCCCTCCGAGGCAGGCGGGCTGGCACTGCCAAGCAACTGCTTCGGTGGCAGGGCCGCGGCGTGTTGGGTGCCACGCCCGCGCCCCCTCGGTCGGCCGGGTCCCTCGCTCCCTCCCCTCCGGATGCTCCTGCCTTCCCTCGACTCCCCTCGCTCCCTCCGCCCTCGCCCTCGGCCCTCCCTCCCTGCCACGCCCGCCTCGATGCTCCTGCTCCGTGCTTCCCTCCTCTCAGGCCCCTCCCCTCCCCCCTTCCCTCCTCCCTTCCCTCCTCCCCGCCCTCCCCCCCCCCCCTCTCCGCTCCCCCCCCCTCTCCGCTCCCAGCCCCTTCTCCCTTCCCTCCATGACATGCGTCCGCGGATGGAGACACCATCGGCGACACGGGAAGGGATAAGAGCCGCAGGGACTGGCTGTCCGATGTGGCGCTCCGCGCGACTCGTTTGCCCCCTCTCCCTTCTCCCTCGCCCGCTCCTTCCCTCGCGGGGCACCGCGCCCCTCCTGGCCCCTTTGCCCCCCTGGCCTCCCCCCTGCTGATTTTTCATCCCGTCCGCAGCCCCCCAAGTCCCGGCCCCTTCCCGTTGCGTGGTTCTGCGCTCCGGATCCGCCTTTGATAGCCCCAGGGCCCGAGGAGGGCCCCCAGAGCCGAAATCAGGGAAATTCGGCGGCATGGAAGGCACCAGCTCGTCGGACGTCTCGGCCTGCGACCGCCGCCGACCCCCCGCCGCGACTCTCCGAGGACGGGCGGCAGCAGCCGCCGCCGCGGCACGGGGGGGCCCCGCAGCCGCCCGAGGGCGCCCCCCTGGGCTTGCAGCACCGGTCGGGGCGGCCGCTGCGCGCGCGGGACGGCAAGGCGCCCTCGGGCGCCCCGAGGAGCCCCCACAGGGAGCGGGAGGAGGAGCGCCGGAGCAGATCACGCAGCCGAGCGAAGCAGAAGCAGCAGCGTGGCGTAGGGCGCACCGCTGCAGCGTCGCGGCGGAGAACCGCGTGCAACGCGTCCTCCTCCTCCTCCTCGTCCTCCTCCAGAGGTGTACAATGCTAGGAGAGCCCGTCAGGTCAGGGACGTGCCACGGACCCAGTGGAGTAGAACTCATGCTGTTGCGTGTCTCAGCTGGTGGAGCCACCTCCAGCGTCATCAGAGCGATTGGCCTGCGGTTCTGACGACGGCCCAAGGTTTTGATTGGGTCTCCCAAAGTCGGCTTGTGTGGGATTCCCCGAGCTCTCGTTCCTCCAAGACCTACACTAGGTCTGCCCAGGGCCGGGTCCATGGGTGGGACCTAATAGGCTGGACTCAGAAATTTAACCCAGAAGGCTCGAGAGACGCTAAGCGTCTCTGGGAGCTTGCAGGCCTGCTTTTGAGAGAGGTGAAGATCAGGGTGCACGAGCATCCCTAGTCTGATGTGCAGTTCTGTGTTACACGCCACCCCAAGGGCGAGTCGTATCGTATCCTATCCTCCTCGTCCTCTTCCTCGTCCTTCTCGGCCTCATCCTCGGCCTCCTGCTCCTCCTCCTCCTCCTCCTCCTCCTCCTCCTCCTCCTTCTTGTCCTCCAGGCCCTCCATCTTCGCATCGTGCCATTGGGTTCTGGGAAGCTGGTCCTGAGGGAAACGGGTCTTGAGGTTTTTCGTCGTTTTCGGGTTCTCGGGGCCCTCCACGGGCCCCGGGATGATCAGAAAACAACTCGGGATGAAGGTCTCGTCGAAGAAGAGCACAGCGTAAACATACGTTGGGGGCGTTGACCAAGAAATCTGACCAGGAGGCTTCGGACCCTGGAGGATTCCTTATCAGACGAGGCCGGCGGTTTTAGCTATGGCCAAGCCTCAAGTGGCGTTCCACCGGCTTCCAGACCCTGGATTCCTGAGCCAGGGTTTCTTATTCAATGCCCTCACCGTAAACTGTTCTGGAGCCCCGCGCGGATTTCTTGGCTCTGCGTTGGGCCCCCCCTTGGCGGCGCCTCCAGCACCGCCTCTGGCGCGCTCCGCGCGCCGGGGAGGGGGTCCAGCGCCAGTCCACGAAATCCGCGGGGAGCTCCAAAAGTTTATGGTTATGGATTCTTCCGTTGTCTGGATCAGGCGTCGAGGGTTCTCGAGGAGGAAGTCCTTAAGCCCCCGGCATTTGTTTTCTGTTTTGTCTCACCGTCAGATGTGTTCGCTCGGCTCTGCTTTGTCTCACCGTCAGTTGTGTTCGCAGATGTGTTCGCTCGGCTCACCCTCAGATGTGTTGGGCTCCTTGGGACCGTGACACATAGATCCTGCTCGAAAAATGCAGCATGAAGGTTGGGTTTAGGGCTCCCGTTGGGATTGTGCGCGATGTGTTGTTTGCAGCGCTGGATCGCAGGGAAGTTCAAGATGCCGCTACTCTTCCCCTGTGTTCTCCCTTTTCGGCCTCCCGGGAGGGCCTCGTCGCCACGGCTGGATTCGTTTCGATATTCTGGTCAGAGCCTACACGAGGGATGTCCGGGGAGCAGCGGTATTGGTATTTCATCTTTTGGCCCCCGAGGACGAGGACAAGTTCGGGCGGTGGTCACCACCTCCTCTTGGCAAGTCGACGGTCGATGAGGAGGGAGTGTCTTTTGGGGGGGTCCTGGGGGGGGGGTCCTAGAGGGTGCAGGGGGAAGTCCGTTTCCTGGAGAGGGGGGCGACCCCCTTTAGTTGTGATCCCCATTAGCCCTAGCAGCGCTCGGACTTATTTTTGTCTTGCCGACGACAATCGAGAAGCATGTTCGATCATCCTGGGAAAAGGAACAAAAAAACACGCACGATACCGAAGAATGTACGGGGAATGGACGTCCAAGCGACAGCGAGCCCCAGCATTGCCTGATAAACATTGGCAAGGCAGGCCCGTGATGAGTGCCTTCGGGCAGAGCTCGGATGAGCGACCTTAGGGCAGACCTGGGGTGAGGACAAGTCGCTCCAGGGCCTCCCGGAAAGCTCTCCGAGCGTTCCAGGGTGCTCAGGAGCGGCTGCAGCGTCCGATGCATCCATCCAGGCCAACCAGCTCTCAGAGATTCCCGAGATGTCCTCATCCAAGCTTTTCCTCATGAGGCCTTCGTCTTGCTCCTCCTTTCTACACTCCCCCCGGGCCAGAGTAGCTGGTGCCGAAACGTCGTGCCGCATCGCCGATGCATCGGTCATGTGGCGCGATCCAGAGTCCAGTTTTCGCCGTCCTGACGGCCCCAGTGCATCGGCGATGCACTGGACGTGCGGTGCGATTCCTTGGCCTGCCCCCCTTTATTTCGCCCCCGTCTTGGAGGCCTCCACGTTCGCACCCGCATGGCCCCTGCAGGCGCGTTGCGTCGGGGCACTCAGGCAGCTCTTTTTGGCCCGGAGACGGCCATGAGAAGGGCCGTGCTTTTCGTCGGGGCGCCCATGCAGCATGCGCGTCCCGACCAACAGCTCGGCCCGTGTCAGGTGTCTGGATCCAGGCCCTGGGACCCGCAGGGATCAGGATGTGAGTCGATAGCTTTTTGGTCGTGGTTTCGCCTCGGCTTCGGGTGTCTGGGTTTCCTTCCTCGAAGAGGGAGGCGGAGAACGTGGAGGTTACGGCGCGAGAGAATAGGGACCGGGAGGAAGAGGAGGCGCAGGATGAGGGGGAGGACCATGATGCGAGAGAAAAGGGGCCAGGAGGAAGAGGTTGCGGAGGATAATGGGGAGAACCATGATGGCTTGGAGGTGGACATCGTGCAGCTCAGGGAGGAGGTCTCGGAGCAGATCGGGGCACTCGGCAACTGGAGGGATGACGAGCGAACGCGGCAGAAGCTGAGGCGGGTCGTCGACAAGATCGCCCAGAAGGTGTCGCCAGAAGCCAACGGGGTCTCAAGCGGAGACGCGATCGAGGGCACCTATGTGGCTTGCCGGGGCCTCCCGAGGTTCTGGGGACCAGCGGCGACCCCCGAGGAGCTCTGGAAGGTCCGACGCGGGCCCTGGATAGCTCGGGGATCTACTGATCCAACTTCCTATCCAGGGCCGGTCTCTGATGCCCGAGGTGCCACAAATCGCGAAGACACATCCTGACCCCTCCCCCAGGACCCTTTTTCGGAGGACGCGTCATGGGGGGGCATAAAGGGCGGGGCAGCGAGGGCTGTAGAAAGGGTCCCAAGAGGGGGGCTGTAGGGCCCTTTAGGGCCCAAGAGGGGGGCTTTAGGGACCGAGAAGGGCACGTGTCTCCCCCCTCATTCATCGCCCCCCACTAAGCAGCGCCAAACCAATTCTCGCTCAGTGAAAGGTGGAAGCCAGCTCGCCCGCCAGCGCCGCCGCCGGTGTACAGGCCGCCAGGAGCTTCGTCGGCTCCGTCCTCGGAGACAGGTGCAGGCCCCAGTCTGCTTCGGCTCAGCGTTCTGGCTCTCGAGAGTCATTGTTGTAGTTGGAGGTGACAGGCTGCCACTGGCCTGGACACCCTCGGCCACAGGCCGAGAAAAGTAGTGGAAGGTGGGGAAGGAATCGGCCAAGAGTCGCCTGAGACCACTCCCGGCCAGAGTCAAAAACAATGTAACGATCCCCAACAGCAGTGTTTGTTTCAAACGTCTCAGCCCAACCATCTCGGTTTCGAGCCCAGCGGGGAGAGGGAGGGGAAGAAGTACGCCGAGGCCGCCAGGGCGTTCTCGATAGTCACCGTGAGGGCACGGGAGGTCAAGACCACACCTAAAATCCAGGCGTAGCTTTTCTTTGCATCGGGCGCTATCGTCCAGTCTCGGGCCTCGGGACCACCTGTTGGTAGGCCTAGGTCTCCGATCGTGATCTCAGCGGAGTTTTGTTTGCTCCCATGTCGGACCCAAGGGGCTGAGTTGAAGAATTCCGGCGTGCTGGCACGCCGACGACCCTCAGTCCCATGGTCATGGTTTCTTTGATCGCTATGGCGCTGTTCGAGAATTGAGAAACTACATGCAGTCAACGCGCCTAATTACAAAGGACGCGCGCCTTCATCTAGGGTGCCCTTGTGTCCTTTCCTCTGGTGCCCGTCTTTTGCCGTTTTCATTGGTCGCTCGCGGGGCCAGAAGGAGGGGGAAGAGGAGGAGGAGGAGGAGGAGGAGGAGGAGGTGGATGATGATGAGGAGGAGGATAAACACATGTTAAAAAGGATCGCCCTCAATCTGTGAAGCTCTTGCACATGTTTGAAAGGAATGTGCGAGGCGCCACCGAGAAAACCACAATTTGAAAACGACCCGCCCTCCATCTGCGGAGCGGTTGCCCACTATTCAGCTTCAGGGCCATACGCGGTGAGGAAGTCCCAGCCGAACAGCCCGGCCCGCCCTAAAAACTGGCCTCGGGGTGCGACAGGGAGAAGTTAGTTAGAAGTTACATGAATGGAGGCGGACGAGGAGGAGGACGAGGAGGAGGAAGAGGAGGACGAGGCGGAAAAGGAGGGGGAGGCGGAGGAGGAGGAGGAGGAGGAGTGGGACGAGGAGGCGGAAACGGAGGATTTCAAGGATGTTCGCCATCACGTAGTGATAACAAGGCTAGGATGCTCAGCACTTCGGAAACAGGCCGCGAACTATCCTGTCAAAATATTCGCGCCTGGCCTTAGAAACGGGAAGCTTGCACGGTTCCCTCAGGCCCCTAGGCTGGGCCTGCCCGTAGGACCCACTTGTGCGGTAAAACCAATATGTAAGATCTCTATGATAGGTCAAGGCGTGTGAGTGATGAGTCCAACCACCAGCTAAGAGCAAATGCCGTCCCACAGGAACTCGACACAGCTCGCTGTTTCCATGCTGGACATGGAAGCATTCACTGTTTTACCATTCGGCCAACACCGCCCTGGTCGCAGAGCGTATACACACGCTACACGCCCTTCCATGTTCGGTCAGGGTATGTGCGGACGCGAAGCGTGCAAGAGCGATATGAGGAAGAGGGGGAGGGATGACTCTACTAGCACCCCGAGCCTTCTGATCACCAGAAAGCGAGGACTTGGACGAGGACAAGGACGAGGAGGAGGAGGACGAGGAGGAGGAGGAGGAGGAGGAAGAGGATGACCAGTACGAGGACGAGGACGAGGACGAGGAGGAGGAGGTTGAGGAGGAGGAGGAGGAGGATGAGCAGGAGGAGGAAGAATTGGAGTTCGAGGAGGATGCGGGGAGGAGGAGAAGGAGGAGGAGGAGGAGGAGGAGGAAAAGGAAAAGGAAAAGAAGGAGGACGAGGACAATGAGGAGGAGGACGAGGACATGGACGAGGAGGACGACGACGAGAAGTGGGGGGAGGAGGAGGAGGAGGAGGAGGAGGAGGAGAGGCGGAGGAGGAGGAAGGAGGAGGAGGAGGAGGAGGACGACCACGACGACGAGGACGAGAACGAGGACGAGGAAGAGGACGAGGAGGAGGACGAGGATGAGGAGAGGAGGAGGAGGAGGAGGAGGAAGGAGAAAGATTGAGGAGGAGGATGAAGAGGAAGAGGAGGACGAGGACGAGGACGACGAGACGAGGACAAGGACGAGAGGATGAGGAGGAGGAGGACGGGGACGAGGACGAGAACGAGGACGAACGAGGACGAGGACGACGAGGACGCCGACGAGGAGGAGAAGGAGGAGGGGGAGGATGATGGAGGAGGAGGAGGAGGAGAGGAGGAAGGAGGAGAAGAGGAGGACGAGGACGAGCAGGAGGGGAGGAGACGACGAGGAGGAGGAGGAGGAGAGGACGGGAGGAGGAGGAGGAGGAGGAGGAGGAGTTGGAGTTCGAGGAGAGCGCGAGGATGGGGAGGAGGAGGAGGAAGAGGAGGAGGAGAAAGAGGAGGCACAGGATGAGGAAACGGAGGAGGGGGGGCGAGGAGGAGGAGGAGGAGCACGAGGAGGAGTACGAGGAGGAGGAGGAGGAGGAGGAGGAGGAGGAGGAGGGGGGGGAGAAGGAGGAGGAGCAAAGACCGCGGAACTGAAGGAACTCGGGGGGGGGGCGCTGCCCGACAGGGGGCAGCAGCTTTGCGACTGGCTGCTGGGGCGCCTCGGGCCGGACCCGCTGGCGCCAGCTGCCTCGGGCGCCAGACCGCGAGAGCAGGCAGGGGGGCTTTCGTTTCGCAGATGTTACTCCTCTCCTTCTCCTCCGTCCTCCTCCTCCTCCTCCTGCCTCCTCCTCCTCCTGCCTCCCTGCCGTTCTTCCTCCGCCACCTCCCTCCAGAGACAGGTCTTCCTCCTCCTGGTTTGTCCTCGTCCTCCTCCTTCTTCTTCTCCTCCTCCTCCTCCTCTCCTGCTCCTCCTCCTCCTCCCCTTCTCCTTCTCCTGTTCCCCCCCTCCCCCTCCCCCCCCCTTCCTTCTTGAGATCGTTTCCTCCTCCTCCTCCTCCTCCTCCTCCTCCTCCTCGTCCGTCTCTTGTCCTGCTTGTCCTCCTCCTGTTTTTCCTCCTCCTCCTCCCCTCCTCCTCGTCCTCCTCCTCCTCTCTCCTCCTCCTCCTCTCCTCCTCCTCCTCCTCATCTCCCTTCTCCTTGTCCTCCTCCTCCTCCTTATCCCCCTCCTCCCCCGCCTCCTCCCCTCCTCCTCCTCCTCTCCGTCTCCTCCTCCTCCTCCTCCTCTCCTCCTCATCCTCTCCTCCTCCTTCTCGTCCTCCTCCTCCTCCTCTCCCTCCTCCTCTCCCTCCTCCTCCTCCTCCTCCTCCTCCTCCTCCTCCTCCTCCTCCTCCTCCTCCTCCTCCTCCTCCTCCTCCTCCTCCTCCTCCTCCTGTGTCCACATTTATCCATTTCTCTTCCATGCGTTTCCTTCCGAGTAATGCCTGCATGTCGCACCTCGAGGCGAGTCGGAAAGGGTGGGCCGTGCGTTTCGCTCGAGACGTCCACGCCATCTATGATGCTAAAGCTTCGACGTTGGCAATGGTTTCATAGATGGAGGGCCTGCCGCTTCCAACATGTGGCTTTCGCTATAGCGCCGCGCACGTTCGTTCAAACAATTGCAGGAGCTTCATGGATTGAGGGCTGGCGGTTTTCAAAATCCGGCCCTCGCCTAAGCGCCGCACACATTCCTTGAGCCCCGCTCACACTGCTTCACGGATACGGTGGTTCCTTTTCAAAGTGCGGTCCTCACGTTTGCGCCGTGCACATTTGTTTCAAGAAATTGCAGGAGATTCATGGATGGACTGCGGTTCTTTTAGGACATGTGGCTCCCGCCGTAGGTCAGGGCATATTCGTTTGAAGAATTTGTAAGAGTTTCACGGTTTCCCACTGTCGACGTGCCCGGCATGGCGTTTGCTTTGGAACGATTCAGGATTGTCCGTGCGCAACAATTACTTTCATTCGCGGTGCTGGAATCCTAGGAACGGCGTTCTGGCACGATTCGGGACCGTCAAGACGCAGCAGTCAAGATGATTCGGTTCACTGAACTTCCGAGAAAGGAGTTTTGGCACGCTTTAGGATCTTCCATCGGTTGTCCCCCATCATGGCACTTCCCTGAGTGGAAACTTGCAAGGGGCTTGAAGCGGGAACTTGAAGGGAGGGTTGATTCCAACATTGTGTCGATGAGTCTTGGGTTTGCACTGGTCCTCCTCCTCCTCCTCCTCCTCCATTCCTTTTTCCGAGGCCGGTTTTTAGGGTGGGCCGGGCGTTTCGCTTGAGCCGTCCTCTTGTGGTATGACCCTGAAGCTTAAACATGGCAACGCGTTCACAGATGGAGGGCGGGAGCTTGTCAAAATGCGGCTCTTGCCTTTGCGCCGCGCACATTCGTTTTCAACAGTTGCAAGGTCTTCACGGATTGAGGGTGGGCGGTTTTCAAACTATGGCTCTCACTTTATCGCCGCGCACATCCTTTTTAAACATGTGCAAGAGCTTCGCCAGTTGAGGGCGGGTGGTTTTCAAAATATGGCCCCACCTTAGCGCCGCGCACATTTGTCCCAAACATTTGCAACAGTTCCACCGATTGAGGGCGGGCCGTTTTCAAGATGTGGTTTTCGCGCCAGCGCCGCGTATATTCTTTCTAAGCACTTGCAAGACCTTTGCGGGTTGAGGGCGGTTCCTTTTCAAAATGTGGCTCACGCATCAGCGCCGCGTGCATTCCTTTTGAACAGTTTACAGGGGTTTCACGGATTCCCATGGCCAATGTATCAGAATTTATGTTTTAGACGAATTCGCGATTATGAGGGTGCAAGAATTATGTTGGTCCGCGGTGTTAAAGTCCCAGGAATGGCTTTCTGGCTCGATCCAGGATCGTCGAGCGCGACAATCAGGTTGATCAATGGCGCTTGGGCTCCCGGGAATAATGTTTTGGCATGCTTCAGGGTCTTCACACGGTTGGGTTGTCCTCGAATGAGGCAGTTCCCTCAGTGACAATGAGCAGATGTAGGGGCCTGTGAAGAGGGACCTTGGGGGGAGGGCGTATTCCAACATCGTTGATGACTCTTGGGTTTACACTGGTCCTCCTCCTCCTCCTCCTCCTCCTCCTCCTCCTCCTCCTGTTCCTCCTCTCCATCCTCCTTCCCCCCAGTTGTTGATATCCGTAAGGGCTTCGCCCCCTGCCGCCGGCCCCCTCTCTCGGATAGTGGGCTACGCAAGAGCTAAATCATGATGCTTCGGCGCTGCCGTGATGCAGCACCGGCAAGAGACATTGGTATTCAGATGATATTGTTGAACACAGTGTTGCATTTTGAACTTACCTCCGTATGCTGTGCACTGAGGTTTCCCACCGAATTTTTGACACGAACGTAATTTACAAAGGTTGAGAGATTCGGAGACGCGAATACAGCCTAACTTACAAAGGTTTACGGCTTCGGATACGCGAGTAGTGCGTACTTTATAAGGGTTTATGGCTTCGGGGCCGCAGCTATAGCGTAATTTACGCAGGCTTATGGCTTTGGAGACGCGATTATTGTGTAATATACGAAGGTTTATGGCTTCGAACACGCGATTTCGGGGTCGCAGTTATTGCGTTAGCATCGGGAACACAACCATTACGTAATTTACAAAGGTTTATGGCTTTCCAGACGCGGACATAACATTTTAGAAAGGTTTATGGTTTCGGGGACGCGAACATCGCGTGATTTACGAGCGTTTGTGGCCTCGGGGACGCAAGTGTTGTACCATTTACACCCGTTTATGATTTCGGGGGCACGAACATGGCATATTTTGCAAGGGTTGATGGCTTCGGGGACGCGAGTATTGTATAATTCGCGAGTGTGTATGGCCTCGGGGGCGCGAATCTTGAGTATTCTACAAAGGTTTATGGCCTCGGGGGCGCGAATTTCATATATTTGTACGTGTCCCACGCCCCCCCCAGGAATTCAGAGCACGCGACTCGGGCGTGGTAATCCGGACGCTTTTCGGCTCCCCCCTCGCGCGTTCAGCAACATGAGCAGAAAGCAGCATAAAGCAATACTGTAACAGTGGAAACTGGAAACTGGAATTGGCGCAGGGAACAGCAAACCCTCGCCCTGCAGCTTGGTGGCACCTCAAGGGGGCCAGCGGATTTTTGGGCGTCCTTGGAGGTCATCGTTGCCGCGGCTGGAGTCGCGGCGAAATTTTGGCGTGTTCGAATCGCTCCTGGAGGGCTTTCCGACGGCCCAAGGGAGGCCCAAAAGACGCCCCGGAGAGCCCCAGCCAAGAGCGCCCCAAGAAGACCCCAAGAGACCCCCAAGAGCGCTCTAGGAGCCACCCAGACAGCTCACAAGAACCCCAAGACGGCCCGAGAAGGGCTAAGCAGGCCCGACGAGACTCCCGGGAGCGCCCCAGGAGGCCCCCAAACGGCTCAAGAAAGCCGCAAGACGGCCAAAGATGGCGCCGAGACGGCCTAAGAAAGCTCCCACAGAACTCCACGACGCGCCCAGACAGCCCAAGAAGACCCCAGAAGCCCATAAGAGGACCCAAGGGGCCCCCAAGAAGCCCCCAACAGGCCCTAAGACAACCCCGCGAGGCGCCAGCAGCAACGTCTTTCTCCAATTGCCTCTTACTGTCCTCTGTCATCGTCGTCGTCGTCGTCGTCGTCATCGCCCTCCGCATTCCTCCTCGTACTCGCCCTCGTTCTCTTCGTCCTCGTTTCTGTGTGCTCCTCTTCCTCCTCGTAGTCCTCATGCTCCTCCTCGCTATCCTCACGTTCGCCACGTCGTCCTCGTCATCGACTCCTCTTTGCCCTCGCCTTCCTTTTCTTCTTCGCTCAATACGCCCATTAGACTAAAGCGGCGCTTCCCGTTTTTGTCCGATCAGGTTTTTGGGCGTCCTTGGAGGTAGTCGTTGCCGCGGCTGGAGTCGCGGCGAAACTCTGGTCAGAACGCCTCCCGTCGGAGGTCCGCGGGTCCAAAGTTTTGAAATTATATACAGACGGAAGTTGTTGCCGCTTTCGTCCTCCCCTTTGCCTGACCCCAGGGCCGTCAAAGAAAATTTCGGGACGCACAGCAGATTTGGTTTGCCGCAGCGACGAGACTTCCGGTCGCGTTCTAAGGCATACGTGGGGACGTAGCCGAATTGGGTGGGCACGGTGGAGAGCAGGCGGAGGGAGGCGCGGGAGAGGGGTGAGAGCACGCTCAGAGATGCAATCTTTCGGCGTGGGTGCTGGAGTCCTTGCGCAGCGGGGAGGTGAAAGACGCTGTAGGAGCGCAGCTCGAAGCTGGCAGACCACGACACGGGTGTTGTCGGCAGGGGGCAGCCAGGGGGGAAAAGGAACGCCCGAGGGCGAGACACCAAACCAGGCGCGGGCACCAAGGCGAGTGGTGTGGGAATGAGCCAGGTCATCGTCAGCACCTTGCACGAGCAAGCGAGAGAAAGGGGAAGCACGGATACTCGAGCTGCGGCTCGAGCAAAAAGAGCAACGAGGATCTCGCCAGGGGGCTAGGCGACGCCGATGAGGGCGAGCGCCTCCTAGGGCAGCGGCGAGGTCGGGCAGAGAGCCGCACAGCGCCGGAGCTGCGGCAGCCTAGGGCCGCGGAGCCGGCCGAGGCCAGCGGGCGGGCACGACACTGCGGCCCGGGGCTGGGGGGGAGGGAGGGTACAGCAGGAGAGGCAGGCAGAGGCTGGAAGGGAGATCGGTGCAAGAGCACCGAGGAGGGCAGCTCGCCAGGGGGCAGGAGCCCGATCCACGTGGAAACAGCCAGGGAACCAGAAGAGCAGAGAACTCCGACAATGCTGTGCACAGAGGGCCAGACATGCAAGAGACAAAATGCCCCAGATCCAGGAGCGTGGCGAGGTAGCACTCGACGAGAACCCAAGAGTGTCAACAGTGGTCGTCGGCCCAGAGAGCAACCGATGGGTGTCAAAGGGCGAGGCTCGCGTGATCTGGCAGGCAAGCAGCGGGGCGTGAGGCGCCGAAGCGCCGCACGACCACGATACGCCGAGGCCCAGGTCGGGGCACGGATCCCGGTACGCAGGGCCCTGGCGGGCTGGGGCTTCATTCGACCAGACATTAGAGTGACCTCTCGCCATATGAACCTTTGGCGAGGGCCCGGTGGGGTACCCCGATCGCTGAGCGCGAGGCGGCAGCAGCGGCTTGCCCGCCCAGCTTTGGCACCCCCCGCGTCTCCCATCAGGTCGCGCACCAGAGGTCATGCCTGCCTGTGGTCACTATTACGCGGGGCCGGCCCACGTTCCACGCGACAGGCTGGAGCGCAGGGGGCCTGAGCGCGAGCGGCACCCAGGGAGCCAAGGGAGCCCAGTGGGCCGAGGGACGGGGCGGCGAGTGCCGCGCGACGATATCCTTGCGAGAGCTGCCGCACCGTCCGCGCATGTTGCCCCTGCCCGAGTGGTAGGAGCGGCAGCCCTTGCCAGAGGCGTGGCCCTTGCCTTTGCCCTGGCCCCTCGTGCAGTTTCTGCCTTCAGCGGCCTGTCGAGCCTCCCCGAGTCGCCAGAGAGTCACGGCGTTTTTCACCCGCTCCAGGTCGCCGCTGAGCCGAACATGCCTGCAGGCGGGTGTCGACCTGCGCGACCCCCGGATTTCCTTCAGCAGCTCGCGGGGGCTCCATGAGAGTAAATTTGCTGGAGGCTCAAGGAAACCCAGGGCGTCGGCGTCGCCGCGGCCCGAGGAGGCAAACGGAGGAGGGGGCAGGAGGACCCGGATCTTCGGCCCATGTGAACACGCGATGGTTGCCTGCACCACCAGAGCTGACACCTAGGGGGGCGGCCGGGGCCGGGGCCCGGAGCTCTGGGGGCCCACGCTTCGAGATGCGCGCGTCGGAGGCCTCGGGCGGGGAGGCCGGGGTGCAGGTGTGCGGCCGGTTCGCGCCGCGCCGGCGCGGCGGGTTTGAAAGTAGGTGCCGCCGGCGGCCTGCACCAGGCCAATCTTAGCTGTCTGGTATGGGAGGTGGCTCGAGATTGGATGTTCCAGTGTCAGTTGCCAGCGCACAGTGTGTGCAGCCACGGCATGAGCCTGCAGGGGGTCGTGTGGGCCCTCTGTGGTGGGGCCCTGTTTGAGGTCTCCAGGGCCCGCCGCATTCTCTGAGAGCGCTCTCTGGGAAAACGGGGCGACATTCGGCGGAGGTCGCTCGAGGTCCGCGCGGTGCCCCGCCAAAGCCAGACGATTGCTCGTCGAGCTGTGGAGGCGGGGTCTCTGCACAACTGTCGTGCGCCGATGCTTCCCGCTGCTCGCTGTGGCCCGGCCCGGCGAGGCCGCGCGCGAGGTGGCGCGGGCGAAGCTGATGGCCATGGAGCTCGGCAGTCAGGCGCCTCCGCCGCTGCAGCTGCCCGCCAGCAGCGCAGCGCCCGCCGCCGGCGCAGCAGCCACCAGCAGCAGCAAGGACAGACAGCAGCCCCAGCGGCCCGCAGGCGCAGCCACCGCCGGCCAGCAGAAGCAGCAGCCGGAGCAGCGGCGGCGGCTTGGCGGCAGGCGGCAGAGACAGAGGCAGCAGAAGCAGCAGCAGCAGCAGCAGCAGCAGCAGCAGCAGCAGCAGCAGAAGCAGCAGAAGCAGCAGCCCGCGCGCAAGCCGACGAGGCGAGGCGGCGGGGCGCTGCAGGCCGCGGGTTCGGCAGAGGCCATCGAGAAGTGCAAGTACTGCGGCAGGCAGGGGCACCGACTGAGGGAGTGCAGGAAGGCCGGCGCGGACATGAAGGCGGGCAGGCTCACGAGGGAGAAGTTGCGAGAGATCAGCGCACAAGCGAGGGCACAAGCGGGGGCACACGTGGCAGATGCAAGCAAGGGCGTTGCGGCGATGGCACCAGCGAGTTCTGTCCAGAAGCCGACTGCTGCGAGTCAGCCCCGGGCTGCCGCTCCGGCGGGTGCGGACGGTGGCGCGCCCAGCGTGGCCGACCTGGAGCTCCGCCTGCACAACACCTTCGGTCTGCGAGGATCGGAGGTCCGGAAGGCTCTGGTCGAAGTCTTCGTGGCCATGGACTCCTACAGGAAGGCCTACGGGGCCAACGCCCCAGACCCCATCACCAGCCTGCGCCCCACGGAGAACCCCTCGGTCGTCCGCCTGCGCGACCCGAAGCTGGCGAGCACCCTGGTGACCCTGCAGAGCGTGCGCGTCTGCGGCCAGAGGGTGTTCTTCGGCCGGCACCCGGACCACCAGCCGAGCGCCAAGCTCCTGACCGTCTGCGACAGCCGGCTGCAGGCCTTCGTCGCGAAGAACGGCCTGGACTCTGGCGCGGCAGCCAAGCTGCAGGCGTTGTGCCCGGCCGGGCAGAAGATTGTGATGGACCGGGGGGACGTGGAGGACGCGCGGAATCCGAATGCGGTGCTCATGGGGCGCATCAGGGAGGCCCGGCGCTCGCTGCCCGCGGACGCGTCCGCCTCGCTGCCCGCGCCGGCCGCGGAAGGGTATGCGCCGCTAGACTTCACCTACAACAGGGCAGCGGGAGGCAGCCCCTCGGACTTCCGCGACGTGCCCGACCGCGAAGTCCAGCTCGGCGGCGTGAAGGGGCTGCACCCGGGCGCGCTGTGCGACGCACTGTGCGACCTGCTCGCGGCGCTGCCGGCGCGCTGCGGGGGCCCGGCCGGCGGCCGCAGCCCAGTGGTCAGCGTCGATTGCAGCGGCGCGGTCGGGCTGGCGCGCCTGCGGAGCGCCGCGCTGGCCACCGCAGCGGTGGAGCGCCGGCAGATGCCGGTCGGCCGCTGCCACGTGCGCCTCGGGCGACCGCCGGGCTACCTTGAGAAGATGGACTCGCCCAAGAAGCAGGCGGCCGGCCCCCCAGACATCCGATACGTCTTAGTGCGTTTGCTTGAAGTCCGGCATCCCCATGCAGAGCCTTGACCAATATTCCCCACGCAGGACGGGCTCTTGGCCTGAGGCGTGCCCTTGACGACCCTGGGGTCCGGCGAGGGCCCCCAGAGGCCGAAAAGTGCCCAAAATTCCTCCTGCCGTGATTTTCTCATGGCCCGATGGGGGTCTGGGGCGGCGGCGCGCGAGGCGTCGCCGCGAGCGCCGGCGACGGTCGCGGCGGCGCGCGTGGCGTCGCCGTGCCGTGCGCGAGACGCTGCGCCGAGGGGCGCCGACGCCGCGGCGCACGGGTCTGGGGCCGCCGCCGCCGCCGCGGTGGGCGGGGCGCACGCGGCGCCCAGGGGACTCGACGTCGGCGACGACGACGACGACGACGACGACGACGACGACGACGACCACGACCACGACCACGACCACGACCACGACCACGACCACGACCACGACCACGACCACGACCACGACCACGATCACGATCACGACGATAATGACTGCGACGGCCTCTCGATCTCTCCAGAGGTATCGGGAAGCCCCCGCGGACCTCCAGACGCCACGGAGCACGGGGCCGCGGCGGCCGCTGCCGCCGCCGCCGCCCTTGGGGGCGGGCAGCCCGCTGCACCCAGGGGCGGAGCGGCGCCGCCGCTGGTCGAGGACTCTCGGCCTCCCAGATGGGGTCCGAGAGGCGAAGAAGAAAAAGCGGCATTACCATAAACTGTTCGGGGTCAGCGCGCCGTTCTTGGGTCCGCGCCGGGCCCCCCTGGCGGCGCCTTCCGGCGCCGCCCCTGGCGCGCTCGGCGTGCCAGGGGGGAGGGGGTCCAGCGCGGATGCACGAAATCCACGCGGACTTCCAACAGTTTATGTTATGCCGTTGCTTTTTCCTGTGGAGCAGATGGGGGTCGGAGGATCGCGCCGCATCACCGATGTATCGCCGATGCGTTGCCGATGCATCGCCGATGCATCGATCGGCGATGCATCGACGACGTCCGCGTGGAGAAAGTCACGCTCCACATCCAGCCGCATCGCCGATGCATCGGCGATGCGGCGACGCCGCGGGTCGAGGACTCGGCCACTCGGTTAGACGGACCCAGGCATGCCGTTCGCTGGCAAATCACGAAAACATTTTGTTTTTTTTCCCCCCTACCCCCAGTACCAGTCCGACCCTCGCCCGACCAAGGTGCGGTCGACGGCGACGCCTTCGGCGACCCAGGGCCTTCCGAGGTCCCCGGCCCGCGGCACCCAGCACCAGCCGCTCCTGCCCTACGCGCCCCCCTGTTCTCTAGGGCTCTAGGGGCCTCGGGCAGTGTGCGGCGTCCGCCACCGCTGGTACGCGCCCCCATTCTCAAGGGGCCTCCCAGGGTGCGGATCCGGCTGCTGGGGCCGCACAGGGCCAGGCAGCGCCGGAGCCTGCTGCCGCTCACCGCCCTTCTCGCATGCGCAAATCCCGGCGCTATAGCCGGTTGCGTCGGGGCCCAGCTTCGCATCCCACGTCTCGCTGAGGAACGCCAGAGCCCGCTGCCCCAGAGCGCCTTTTTCACACGCATTGCACCCCGCGCTGTAGCCGATAACGTCGGGCTCCAGCTTCGCATCCCACACCGCGGTGCGCAGCGCCAATGCCTGTTGCCACTGCCCCCTCTTCTCGCACGCGCTGATCCCAGCATTGTAGCTGATGACGTTGGTCTGCAGCTTCGGTTTCCTCCTCTCGCCGAGCAGCGCCAGAGCCCACTGGCACTGAGCGACCTTCTCGCATGCGCAGATCGCGGTGCTGTAGCTGGTCCGGTGCCGCTGCTCGGGCGTCTCGCACTCGAAGATCCCGGCGCTGTAGCTGGTGACGTCGTCGTGCAGCTTCGCCTTCCGCAGCTCATGGAGGACGGCGAGGGCGTTGGCCGTGGCGTAGGCGCGAGCGCTGGTGCCAGCGAAGGCGCTGACTTTGGTGCCGGCGTGGGCGTAGGCGTGGGAGCTGGTGTCTGCGCTGGCGTTGGTGTTGCTTTCGGAGCTGGCGTCAGCGCATGCGTCGGTGCCCGTGTCCTCAGCCTCCTCAGTCTCCTCGTCCTCCTCTTCCTCTGCCTCCACATCCTCCTCGGCCTCCTCCTCCGCCTCCTCCTCCTCAGCCTCCTCTGCCTCCTCCTCCTCGTCCTCCTCCTCCTCCTCCACCTCCTCGGTGGTGCTGCCGTTGGGGTCGGCGTAGGCGAAGGCGGAGGCGCTGGTGGTGGAGCCGACGTAGGCGCTGGGGATGCTGCCGGCGGAGGCGCTGGCGGTGGTGCTGGCGCCGGCGTCCTGATCGGTTTCATCCTCCTCCTCCTCCTCCTCCTCCTCCTCCTCCTCCTCCTCCTCCACCACCTCCTCCTTCGCCTCCTCCGCCCTCTCTCTCCTCCTCCTCCTCCTCCTCCTCCTCCTCCTCCTCCTCCTCCTCCTCCTCGACCTCGCCCTCATCCTCCTCCGCCTCCGCCTCCTCCTCCACCTCCTCCTCCACCTCCTCCTTCTCGATGAAGCTGGCGTGGAAGCTGGCGGCGTCGCCGGCGCGGAAGCTGACGTCGTCGGAGCTGGCGTCGGTGCTGGTGTGGGCGCCGGCGTTGGTGCTGGCGTACGCGCTGGCGTGGGTGCCGGCATCAGCGGCGCTGGCGTCGGTGCTGGTGAAGGCGTCGGCGGCGTTCCTGCCAGCGTAGGCGCAGTCGTCGGTGCCGTCGTAGGCGTTGGCGTCGGCACTGGCGTGGATGGCGGCATCCTCGGAGCTGATATCGGTGCTGGCGTAGGCGCTGGCGTCCTCGGTTGCGTCGGCGATGACGTCGCCGAGGGTTTTGGCGTTGGTGCTGGCGGAGTTGGCGGTGGCGCTGGCGTTGCGGGAGGCGCGGGCGTTGCCGTAGGTGTTGGCGTTGGCGCTGGCGTAGGCGCATGCGTCCTCCGCCACCTCCTCCTCGACATCGTCGTCCTCCTCCTCCTCCTCCTCCTCCTCCTCCTCCTCCTCCACCTCTTCGGTGGTGCTGCCGTTGGGGTCGGCGTAGGCGAAGGCGGAGGCGCTGGTGGTGGAGCCGGCGTAGGCGCTGGGGATGCTGCCTGCGGAGGCGCTGGCGGTGGTGCTGGCGTCAGCGTCCTGATCGGTTTCATCCTCTTCCTCCTCCTCCTCCTCCTCCTCCTCCGCCCCCTCCTCCTTCGCCTCCTCCGCCCTCTCTTCCTCCTCCTCCTCCTCCTCCTCCTCCTCCTCCTCCTCCTCCTCCTCCTCCTCGACTTCGCCCTCATCCTCCTCCGCCTCCGCCTCCTCCTCCACCTCCTCCTCCACCTCCTCCTTCTCGATGACGCTGGCGTGGAAGCTTGCGGCGTCGCCGGCGTGGGAGCTGACGTCGTCGGAGCTGGCGTCGGTGCTGGTGTAGGCGCCGGCGTTGGTGCTGGCGTGCGCGCTGGCGTGGGTGCCGGCATCAGCGGCGCTGGCGTCGGTGTTGGTGAAGGCGTCGGCGGCGTTCATGCCAGCGTAGGCGCAGTCGTCGGTGCCGTCGTAGGCGTTGGCGTCGGCACTGGCGTGGATGGCGGCATCCTCGGAGCTGATATCGGTGCTGGCGTAGGCGCTGGCGTCCTCGATTGCGTCGGCGATGACGTCGCCGAGGGCTTTGGCGTTGGTGCTGGCGGAGTTGGCGGTGGCGCTGGCGTTGCGGGAGGCGAGGGCGTTGTCGTAGGCGCTGGCGTGGGCGCTGGCGTAGGCGCATGCGTCCTCCGCCACCTCCTCCTCGACCTCGTCCTCATCCTCCTCCGCCTCCGCCTCCACCTCTGCCATCGTCGTCTCTTCGTCCTCCCCGTCCTCATCCACCTCGGCGTTGGGGTTGGCGTAGGCGTAGGCGTTGACGTCCGAGCTGGCGTCGAAGGTACTGGCGTTGCTGGCGTCAGGCATGGCGTTGGTGCCGGCGTAGGCGCTGACGGTGGTGCCGGCGTAGGGGTGTTCCTCCTTGGCCTCCTCGGCCTCTTCCTCCTCCTCCTCCTCCTCCTCCTCCTCCTCCTCCTCCTCCTCCGCTGTTGCCGTCGCCTCTTCGTCCTCCACGTCCTCACCACCTTCGCGTTGGGGCTGGCGTAGGCGTAGGCGCTGGCGTCCGAGCTGGCGTCGGAGGTACTGGCAGTAGTGGCGTCGGGGGTGGCGCTGGTGCTGGCGTAGGCGCTGGCGTTGGAGCCAGCGTAGGCGCCTTCCGCCTCGGCTTCCTTAGCCTCCACGTCCGCTGCTGCCGTCTTCGCCTCCTCGGCCTCCTCGTCCTCGTCTGCCTTAGCGTTGGGGCTGCCGTAGGCGCAGGCTCTGGCGTCCGAGCTGGCGTCGGAACTCCCCGCCGTGCCGGCGTCTGAGCTGGCGTTGGTGCTGGCGGCGGTGCCGGCGTAGACACCTTCCTCCTCGGCCTCCTCAGCCTCTCCTTTTGCTGCTGCCGTCGCCGTCTCCTCGTCCTCCTCGCCCTCAGCCTCGGTGTTGGGGCTGGCGTAGGCGTAGGCGCTTGGGCCCGAGCTGGCGTCGGAGGTCGCGGCCGTGCTGGCGTCAGGTCTGGCGTTGGTACTGGCGTAGTCGCTGGCGTCGGTGCCGGCGTAGGCGCCTGCCGCTATGGCTGGGTGTGTTACCTCATACGTTGGTGGGTGCGCTGCCTCTGGCCGCTCCCTCCTCTGCCTCCTCACTCTCCTCCTCCTCCTCCTCCTCCTCCTCCTCCTCCTCCTCCTCCTCCTCGCGTTCTCGCCTGGGCTGCTCCTCCCTTGGTGCCCTGTCTCGTCCTGTGCCGCTGCCTCGCGGTGGCGGTGGTGTTCCGCGCCCCCGGCTCTCGCCCCGCCGGGGGCCGCCCACCTCAGGGGCGCGCCGGCATGCGGCTAGGAATTGGCGCCTCGGTATGGCGCGCGTCCGCCAGGACGTCCTGCAGCCATGGCTCGTCGCCGTCGCAGGCGAGGCCGTCCAGGGGCAGGTGCAGCAGGGAGGCTGCGAAGGCCCGCTGCGCCGCCACCGAGGCGAGGCCTGTCCACCGCTGGATCCAGGCTGCCTTCACCGAGGCGCGCAGTAGCTCTGGCGCGGACCGGGCTTTGCAGTCAGCCAAGAGGCGCACGAACTGGAGGGCCTCCTGCGACCACCGGCCCCCCACCTCCAGGGCCATGACCACGAGCCGGCAGCGCCTCGCGTCCAGGAGCTCCGGGTAAGTGGTCTCCTTGCGCCTGCGGGCTTCGCGGAGCCACGCCCCGTCCTCGTCTGCCGTGCGCGGGTGGGCCGCGCCGTCCCGGCCGAGAGGGCAGACCAGCGTGGCATCCACGGCCAGCTGTGCCCCTCCCCACAGCGGCAGACCGTTGGCGATCACCTGGAGCCGCATGCCGTCGCCCGCGCCGGCGCCGTCGACGTTCAGGTCCCGCAGGAACTGGTTCTCCGCCACCCTCGCGCCCGCCTCGCGGCTCATGCGGGCCGCCGCCTTCTCCAGAGGGGCTCCCCGCTTTTTGAGGACGCCGGCTGTGGGGCAGGCCGCCCTGTGGTCCCCTCTGCTGTCGAGTCGCGCTCTGCACCTGCACGCGCTTGCCGTGAATGGTAAATCAAGGCGCAGGCGGCGCAGGAGGAGGACGCGCAACTCCGCGGATGGAACTCGCGTGGGCTCGCTCGTGGGTAGGACCGTGAACACCCGGCCGGCGCACGGGCCGCTCTGGGAGCGCAGCAGGTCGCGCTCTGGGGCCTGCATGCGTTGCATGATGCCGTCCCTGGCTCGGTCGTCTCTTGCTCGGGCCGCCCAGAACTGCCAGCCGCGCGCCCACTCGCCCAT